GATTTGGAGAGTATAGGAAATAACTCACTCTAAAATTGAAACCAGGAGAGTGGAAGAAAATGGAAGTAATGACCAGGCGCGGTGGCTCACACTGTCTCTTATACACATCTCTGTAATCCCAGCTACTCAGAAGCTGAGGCATGAGAATTAGTTGAATCTGAGAGGCGGAGGTTACAGTGAGCTGAGATAGTGCAACTACACTGCAGCCTGGATGACAAAGCGAGACTCTGTCTCAAAAACAAAAACAAAGGAAACCTAGTAGAAAAGGCAGTTTTGTATCCCTTTTTTCACTTGGTATTACATTATGAGCATTGCTTGTTTTCTTAAAACATTTCTAACTCTGGTTATACAACTGTTGTGTCATTTATTTAATCCTCAGGTTTTCTGTTTTTTACAGTTGAGCTGTGCTCAATTTTTTGCTAACCTAAAATTTGTATTTGTGTATAAATCTTGCCCACATCAATCCTTATTTCCTGAAGACAGAATCCTAGAATTAGAATTAATTAGGATTCTTGATGTGCATTGCCAAATTGTTTTCCAGAAAGGTATATTTTTAATAATGTAATATTTATAGTATTTCAAATGACCTCAAAAACCATAAAAGATGATAAATACATTTTTTAATTGAAAAATTCAAAAAAGAGAAAAATAAGAGGAAGAGAAATCTTCTGGGTTTCTAACATTTTAATATCAATGTTCTTTAGTTTTTTTTCCTAAAAATATAGTTCTGATCATAGAATACAGTAAATCTTTCGAAAAGAGTTTTTCATTACAATTAAATGGCTGCTAGCATGCAGAATTTGTTTCTAATCAGGGAGTTCAACTAATAGATCATAGTAAACATTATAAAACATGATGCCAGAAATGAATTGTTTATATACATAGCAACTTGACTGAATCTTGAGGAAACTATGCAGAAGATTAATTCCGTTTATATAATAGAAATTACAACAGGGCTGGGCTCTGTGGCTCACACCTGTAATCCCAGCACTTTGGGAGGCCAAGGAGGGTGGATTGCTTGAGCCCAGGAGTCTAAGACCAGCTTGAAAAATGTGGCGAAACCCCATTTCTACAAAAAAATACAAAAATTTTCCTGGCATGGTGCGGTGCACCTGTATTCCTAGCTACTCAGGAGGCTGAGGTGGGAGGATCGCTTCAGCCCGGAGGCAGAGGCTGCATTGAGCCGTGATCACACCACTGCATTCCAGTCTGGGTGACAGAGCAAGACTCTTTCTCAAAAAGAAAAAAAGTGAAATGACAGCAGTGTGGAAGTGGAGAATGGATTTGTGGTTAGAGATCGGGTTGAGGAGGAGGGGAAATACCCATAAAATAGCAAAGTGCAGGGTTTCAGTGATGATGGATATATTCTGCATCTTCACAATATCAATGTCAATAACATGGTTGTGACATCGATATCATGCTATAGTTTTACAAGATGTTATCATTGAAGGGAACTGGGTAAAGGGTACATGGAACCATTCTACTGTTTCTTACAACTGCATGTGAATTCACAATTACCTCGAAATTTTAAATTCAATTTTAAAACTCTGAATTAAAAAAGACATCATTATGGGTTCCATTTCTATGGTACCCTGATAGTTTTTATGGAATATGAATTAGATTTGTAAGGGACCTTAGCTCTTCTAGTTTAGTGACTTGTAACATATGGTCACTGGCCAATAGGGTCCTAAAGGTAAGAATAGAGATTTATAATCCAATTTAAAATTTTTAAGTATTGATATTTGTCCTAATAAAGCTATCCCGAAACCCTTCAATCTCAAATTTATTTGCTTCGGTGTGAAATTATTTTACCTCCATTTGGTAATGTCTTTTCTCACACTAATTATATCTTCTAGTTGACAATTTATTTGACTTGGGTTAATAAAAATTGAGAATATGAATTATTACTTATAAATGCTATTTTATTGGTAAACAATATCTTTCAAAATGTAGGTTCTCTAGAGAAAGAGCATCATAAATGTTGCACTTAGGATGGCAAAAAAAGAAAGGAAGGGAGGGAGGGAGAAACATTGCCAGGCATTGCATTAAATACTTTTAGAATGTTTATTTTAACAATGGTGGGATGTATGTATTATTATGTCTCTTTTAAAGATGGAAAAACAGGCTCAGAATGGTTAAATGAGCTTGCTTAGAGTTACAAAACTAAGTACTAATTCTGTGATTCAAATCTACATCTTTCTGACTCCAAAACTAGTATCATTTCCTTCCTGCTTCCCACATCCTACCCAAAGCATGAATCTCGTCTACTGTATTCCAATAATTTATCCTCTAGAACAGGAATGTCTATTTTTTTTTTTTTCTTTTTTTGAGATGAAATCTTGTTGTGTGCCCAGGCTGGTCTTGAAGTTCTGGGCTCGAGCAATCCTCCTGCCTCAGCCTCCCGAGTAGCTGGGACGGTAGGTGTGAGCCTCATGCCCAGCTAGGATTTCTTAACTTCTAAAGTCATGCGCCCTATTAAGAAAAAAGTTTGATCACAGTTGTTTAATATATTTACATTTATTTATCAATTGTGTGTGTGTGTGTGTGTGTGTGTGTGTATATAGAGCTGTTACTAATATATGCCTTATAAAGCATACTAAAGAAGACATTCTAAATGTATGAGAAATATAATAGAAGTCCCAGGTGATCCTGTTAAATACTCCCTAGGATGTGGGTACTCCACCATGGAGATCACTGATATAGTCCAGTACTTCTTGAGACATAGGCTTTATCAGCACCTGGGATACTTTTTAAATGCAAACTACTGGGCTTTATTGTGGATCCAACCAACCAGACTCTGGGAGTAGGGCCCAGGAATCTGCATTCTTAGCCTTTCTACAGTTTGAGAACCATTACTGTATCTGCTTGAATAACTGCATAACACTCTTTCATTATATTTGGGAATAACTACTACTTTTTTTGGCTAAACATCACTAATTGTTGAAGTTATCTCTTGTATGAGAATATCTAACCTTCCATCTCACCAACTTTTTGTCTCAACATCTAGTTTGTTTGAGCCACACCTTCTTTCTATAACTAACTTTACCATTTCAATGGGGTTTAACTTTTAATGGCATGCTGAGACCATGAAGAACCTCAGCCCTCCAATAGGGTGAATGTGCAAGATTTGGAGAGTATAGGAAATAACTCACTCTAAAATTGAAACCAGGAGAGTGGAAGAAAATGGAAGTAATGACCAGGCGCGGTGGCTCACACCTGTAATCCCATCTGTTTGGGAGGCCGAGGCGGGCGGATCACCTGAGGTCAGGAGATAGAGACCAGCCTGGCCAACATGGTGAAACCCTGTCTCTACTAACAAATACAAAAATAAATTGGCCAGGCGTGGTGGCGAGCACCTGTAGTTCCAGCTACTTGGGAGGCTGAGGCGAAGAATTGCTTGAACCCAGGAGGTGGAGGTTGCAGTGAGCCAAGATCATGCCACTACTCTCTAGCCTAGGTGACAGAGCAAGACTCTGTCTCAAAAAAAAGAAAAGAAAGTGGAAGTAATTAACCATCTATGGAAATAACCCCAGAAAATAAGTCACTATAAGAGAAGATTCATAAGTGAGTTGCTACAAAAATGGTGGGGGAGTCTTCCAAAGTGTGGGCAGACCCAGATTTGCTCACTAAAAGCATCTGAGAGAGGGATCAATTTATAGCTTAACCAATGTATCATCTAATGCATTTTAACTCCAAGTTAAGATAATGGTGAATGAGAAATGCCTTGATGTTGATAAATACTGGAGAAAATGCCAAAGAAGAATTCTCACTCTGCCTCTGCTTAATGCTAGGCAGGAACAGGCTGCCATGATTCTAGAGGTCTCTTTTTTCCCTTTACTTAAAGCCTTATACAAGACAAAATAATGGACTGGGAAAGAGTGTGTCTAGAATTCAGTAGAATCCATTACTGCTGTGTACCAATATCCAAATATTTCTGAGTTTTTATCTGGAAAGAGCACTGGAGTTGACATCATGAGACCATTATTTGAGTAGGATCTATTCTTTTTTCTACTCTTATGACCTTGACCTTGGGTCTACTCTTTTTTTTCTACTCAGGTTGGCTAGCATCTCTAAGTATGTTTCCCAGTCTATAAAATGGGATGATAATATTTGCCATAAACCATTTATAGGGTTATTGAAAAGCTGTAATAAAATGTATTTTAAACACCACAAAAAATTTAAAATGCTGCATGTGAAATGGTGAAGCATCAGAGTGGGTGGTTCTTGACAATAACTAAATTGGCTATTTCTTTTATTCTTTTAGCATGGATGTTTTTGGCAACCTCTTTCTTCACAGAGAGTCCAAATATAAACTTCATGGCAAATTATATTAAATTTACCACATATTCTATGTGAAATAAAATATGAAACACAGAAAAAGTTCTAAGACTATAGATGTTTGTTGCAGCATTATTTATATCTGAAAACAATGTAAATCTCCACAGTAAGAGAGTGGTTAAATGTATTTTAAATCTCTCATAAAATGAAATTATGTAGCTGAGTAAATATTTATGAAGCATTTATAATGATACTTCTATAAATATTAATGAAAAGCTTATAGTGATTTGTTTATATAATACTATTTCATATATGTGAAAATGCTTAGAAAAAAATACATACCATTACACTGAAATATCACTTTTTTCTGAGTGCTAAGAGTGTGTAAATTTTTTCTAAAATATGTGTACATTTATTTTAAAAATTGCCACAGATTCTAAATAGGTTAAGTTTTAGGGTGCAGCATAGCATTTGGAAAACTTAATTATCTTTAAACCAGAATCATTTAATGTATGATTTTAAAATGTATATTATGTGATAAGCATGCATGACTCTGTGTGTATATGGGAATATATGGATTATATTTCCTCATTTGAGATGGAATGGCCTCATGCAACCATCACTTATAAATAGTAAAGAGAATTTGAAGTCTGCAAATGATGAGAAAAGAGTGGCTTTCTTCAGTAGGATATTAAATGTGATCTTTGTTCTCTCTGCTTCAGGTGCTGATAGTCTGCAGCACAGGTTTAGCTGGGATTATGCTGCTCAACTACCGGCAGGACTACACAGTATGGGTGCTGCCTCTGATCATCGTCTGCCTCTTTGCTTTCCTAGTCGCTCATTGCTTCCTGTCTATTTACGAAATGGTAGTGGATGTATTATTCTTGTGTTTTGCCATTGATACAAAATACAATGATGGGAGCCCTGGCAGAGAATTCTATATGGATAAAGTGCTGATGGTAAGTACTTCAAATGCCCTTTCCAATTTAGGGATAAAAATACCAATAAAAATATTTTGTAAAACATTATCTATGTTTAATTCACACTATATGCAATTGAGTAATTTAGAATTAACCCCGTAGCACTGACTCATGAATGAGGTTAATCTTGGGTAAGTCAGGGAGGAAGGCTTCTTGGCATGGACAAGATCATTTCAGATCCACCTAGCTAGAGTTGTACTCGTTAATAGTCCTAAGTTCACCCTATTCCTGCTGCCCCTCTCTCTGTAGTTAGATAGATTTGAATTGACTTTTTAAACCAGCTTCTAGCCTTTTCCTGAAATGGGGCTCAAAGACAAAATATCCTGTTTCCCAGGTCCTAGTGCCTACCTGTCTTTCTCTGTCCACCATTGCCCCAAACATTACTGCTGTCAACCCTGATTAAAACTCATCATCTTAAATATGGTAGGCCAAATTGAAAGCATTTTGTGATGAATATGGATAACAGACCCATGACTGATAGAGTGTATAGTTATTTATTAGTCAAGATCTGAACCTTTACACAGATATTATATGCAGATTTTTCATATTAGAACCTCAATTAAATGTCTTTAAAAATTTGAAAACCTTATTAAATGGCTTAAGTACCATTATAAGCAGTGTTAAATGTTACCAAGTAAAGATGCTTTCTAAATAATAGTAGTTTGCTATTAAGCTATGAAATATTTCTATCTCAAAATGGGTAATATTGAATACTAAGCATTATACATTGAAATAACAAGTCATTTTCCAGGAGCATATTTTATCCAGTTAAATCTGAAATAAGTGTATTAATAAATAGGCTAGATTTTTTATTTTTTTTATTTTTTTTATTTTGTTGAGACAGAGTCTTGCTTTGTCAACCAGACTGGAGTATAGTGGCATGGTCTTGGCTCTGCAGCCTCTACCTCCCAGGTTCAAGCAGTTCTGCCTCAGCCTCCCAAGTAGCTGTGATTACATGCGTGTGCCACCACTCCTGGCTAATTTTTGCATTTTTAGTAGAGATAGGGTTTTACCATGTTGGCCAGGCTGGTCTTGAACTCCTGTCCTCAGGTGATCTGCCTGCCTTGGCCTTCCAAAATGCTGGGATTACAGGTGTGAGCCACCACACCCAGCCTAGATTTTTTTTTTTTTTTCCAATAGCAAGAATGCCAAATGATTTAGCTGACCTATTTGGCATTGATTTTCTCTTTTTCTGACAACATCAGCTAAATTGTGGACATTTTCTTAATGTCTAAACTAATTCTAACTGGTTATTTTCTGAATGGAATTTGATCATGATTATTGCATCTCTTTTGTGATTAAAGCATTTAGAAGAGTGTTACTGTTTTTTAAGTCACTGATCAAAAGCAGAGTAAAAAATACTGTTTTCCACCCTTCAGTTTTCTCTGTAGGAATGAAGAAGTGCCCTGTAAATGTTGACAGAATGGAAATGTTCCCTTTGGGGCACATTCCCATTTCGACTGCTACTAACCATAGGTTCTGGTTGATACACCCTGTCTTCCTACTTTATGAAGTAATGTCATGGTCAGATTGACACTTTTTTAAAAGATAGTTTGTTTGTGGTTTGGTTAAGAAAAAAAGCATTATGTGCTTAGCAATCTCAGTGTGTTCTTTTACCTTCTGTGGTTATTTAAAAGTGGAGGCTTATGGAGTAACATGTTCTTCTTGTTTCATTTAACCTTGATATAGAAAAAAACAACAATAACAAATAAAATGATATTCTGAGTATGAGAAAATAGCCTCTTAAAAATGTTAGGTGTTTTCTCTTCCACATAGAACTAACATTATCTCTTGGAGCCTTAGTAAGATTGTCATAATGAATGGATGGAAAGATGTTTTAAATCAGCGGATTGCAGGGTCCATTCCTGCAAATTTAGCAGCCCTCATGTGTGATACTAAACATTCTTTATTGCTATGTTTTTAGGCCATCCATTTACCAAGATTGAGTCAAAAATGTAAATGTTCTTTAGAATTCATCTACTAACAAATCTGAAAGGAACCAAGAATTTACGCATTGTGATCCATATTTTGCAGGAGTTTGTGGAAAACAGTAGGAAAGCAATGAAAGAAGCTGGTAAGGGAGGCGTCGCTGATGCCAGAGAGCTAAAGCCGATGGTAGGTGGAGATGAGGAGGTGGCCGCCCTCCAAGAATTTCACTTTCACTTCCTCTCTCTCTCTGTCTTCACTGACTGCACTTCTTCAGGAGAAGCTTTTGTTATCTGTATCACGCAGGACGTGCTGCTCTTTCTGTTTGTGTGCTTACCCATCACTTGGATGGCAGAATTCTTGTCACAACTGAGACCACCTTCTGTAAAAGTAAGCTGAAAGGAACAACATCCTCGTCAGTGCTCGGTGGGGGGTAGGGGATGATAGTTTTGTCCCTAAGGTAAAACTGCTATTGCTCTTTCCGTTTCAACTGTCAGTGTTTGGCTTTCATCAGACTGAACATTTTGGTGTACACTTGAACTGACGGTTTGACTTTTATCATTTTGGAAGGTGATCATAGCAATTCCTTTCAACTTGCTAAAATTCATACTCCCCCATTTTAAAATATTGTTCTGTTTACATCGCTGTCCTTTTCCCTTGGCTGACATTTTCTTCTGTTGCCTAGTTGTACTTTCTTTGTTTCTTAAGCTTCATTTTTCAGTAGCAACAAGGCTGTTTTCATCAATACCCACATTCGCACTCAGTAAGACAATCTACTCTTCTCCCAGTTTAATTGTGAGATGGATAAATTATTTCTGGTCATTGATATTATATATATGTATATATACACAAATATATCTCTGTACTCCACTTCTATTTGAAAAAAGCAGCTTAATGAGTGTAAGAGAACCTTGAGCCGCTTTTCACATGGGTATTGTCACATATATTTCACATGGGTATAGCGTAGCAACAGATGCCTCTGTCATAGATTGGTCTAATTACTTCCTAATTTAAATGCGTATTTTTTTAATAGCATGTTTGTTTTCAAATATTATGTAATTGTCTTCATCCTTAAATAATTAATTTTAAACAATGTGCCCTCTAACTGCATATAATGTTCAAAAGTGTGAGGTAAGGACTTTCCTTTCTATCTTCCTTACACTTTAATAAATGATTTGATTTATAGCAAACTTGTCCAACCTGCTGCCTGTGGGCCGCATATGGCTTAGGAAGGCTTTCAGCACAAATTCATACACTTTATTACAACATGAGATTTTTTTGCATTTCTTCTTTTTAAGCCCATCAGCTATCCTTAATGTATTTTATATGCAGCCCAAGACAATTCTTCTTCCAGGGTGGCCTGGGGAAGCCAAAAGATTGGATACTGCTGATTTATAGGTTTTCAACTTTAAAATATATGGTATAAAATAAGTTCATTTAAGTAGACCGAGTGTGGTGGCTCATGCCTGTAATCCTAGCACTTTGGGAGTTTGAAGCAGGTGGATTGCCTGACCTCAGGAGTTTGAGACCACCCTGGGCAAAACGGTGAATCCCCGTCTCTACTAAAATACAAAAAACAAACAAAAAAAAAGAAATCCCATCTGTACTAAAATACAAAAAAAAAAAAAAAAAAAAATTAGCTGGGCATGGCAGTGAGTGCCTGCAATCCCAGTTACTTGGGAGGCTGAGGCAGGAGAATTGCTTGAACCTGAGAGGCAGAGGTTGCAGTGAGCCAAGATTGCACCATTGCATTCCAGCCTAGGCGACAGAGCAAGACTCCATCTTAAAAAAAAAAAAAAAAAATAAGCTCATTTAAGAGTAAAGGAAATAGGCTTATTTATGGGGGGAGGCAGGGAGGCTATATGTATATGCAAACTAATTGCATATTCAACCTAAGTTAAAGCCTCAATAAAATATTTAGATATAAACCCTTTTTTCTATAACCCTTTCCAGTGCCTATTTTGGTGTTACTCTTACTTAATAGCATGAATAATTATAAAATCAAATTTAAATGTTTAGATCCCAGAGCACAGATCACTCTAGTACCCACATAGCTCTGAATTTTAAGTTTGTATCACCTAGACATGGATTGCTTGGGCAGATGGCAGCTCACCAGCAATCTTCCCAGTCAGGTTCCATGCCCGCCCTCCACACCTTTCTGTATCCCTCTTACTTCACAAAGGCTGAGGAGGGCAGCAGTGGAGATTCTGCCAACCCTATGGCAACATGGAGAAAGGAGGGAGGCTTCCTTTCTTCTTCTGCTTGGTAGTCCTAATTGTTCAGCAAATCGATTCTAAGCCCAAAACTTAAAAAGATACAAGAAATCTTTAAATAAAAACCAAGCTTTCCCCCCTTTTCTGTCTCTCCAGTGATTGAAGCTTTCATTATATCATTCAGTAATAAGCGTTTAAAGAAAGGGAGAACTATTTCGAGGTTGAAGACTAGGTAATCTTGCCATGAGTTGGCACAGATTTCTATAGTATTATTTAATGAATGGTAGATGAATTGTAGTAGATCAGAATGCAAGTATACTTTCCTTACCTAAACTCCTAATTTATAGGCAATAATCCTGGGAGAACTGCCCAGGTTATGTGGCATTCTACCAGATGCCAAATATTTTAGAAGGAGTTCTTTCCTATTAGTATTTTTAGTTTTGAAATAGTGTCCCTTACTTCAAACAATGCATTAAAATCTTCATTTAATTTTTGCTTTCATTTTCTGTTGTTCAGTTCATTGCTTGCAGATTAATGGCAAAAACCCTCTTCTGCATCCCAAAATACATCTTCTATGTGCATCGTTCTGGTGCTTTGGACATTGTAGCATTGGGTCCCTAAGAATAATGTTTTCAATGGTTAAAAAGCTCCCAGAAGACAAGTGTGAAATATTTCTCACAGAGTAGTTTTATTTTCTCAGCACCTCAGTACCTTCTTTATTTCTCTTCCACAGTATGCATGGTTAGAGTTGGCCCCTACTAACACCATTCCCTTGCATGTGTTTCTAAAAATCTGTTTGAGAAATTTCTACCTTAAGTTTGGGGATTGATAGAATTTAGGATTGCTTATTTGTATTTGCTTGATATAATTTACATATTGTTGCTGTAGATGAAAGTTCTATAAAAGAGCATCATGCCTATTTTGCAGTAGCTCTAGAAACATTGCTGCTGTTTGAATTCACTATCTTCCTCCCTCCTCAATGGGATCTTTTAATTTACGCTTCATTTTTAGCCTATACAATAATGTTCAGTAAAATGAGGTTTTATATTTTCCTTTTGACAGGGGATCATTGAACTAAACATGAGAACTTCCAGTTTTGTTCTCGAACTTTTCCCTGAGAGAGGCTCACTAGTTAAGGAAACTTTAAAGATTTATGAATTTTTTTTATGATTCTTTGAAAGTGATTTTGGATAAATGTACCAAAAGTGATAAAAAGGTTTAGGAAAGAGATTTTCTGACTGACTGCTTGCTATCATATAGCAAAGAACTTAAAGAGAAAAGGGAGGAAAAATCCTAGACACTGTAGGAACATGGGCTAGAGAAGTATGCTCTGTGTATCTCAGAGATGATCCTGGAGAAAGTGTGACTTTCAACATTCGTAAGAATTTCAGCTCCAGGAATTCAGGGGAGAAGGATTCTCAGTCCATTTTGCCATCTTGCTGTTTGTGACCATGTGTATATTTGTAACATCATTCATGATCTCCTTTTAATGGTAATTGTCTAAGATTATACTCTGTATGACTTTGTTTTCTAGGCTTCGGGAGCAAGTTCTGCTTGAACCTAGCCGACGGTTATGGAAACCCATTGACATTCCAAAACAATATATACACATAACTATGTATTTGTGTGTGTGGGTGTGTGTATATATGTATATGTATGTGTGTATATATGTATATGTATATACACACACACACATAAATCAGCCAAAATCAGAGAAAAGGAACAGGGATTTAATACCTTTTTTATGCTTATTTTTGTCAAACATGTACTCCTTTCATACGGGTGGCTTTTACAAGGCAACTTCCGTCATTTAATGTTTTCAACTGTAATTGTCTTAATGGAAATGTTAAAATTCATATCTGATTAACATTTTTAATAACTTAGAGGAGATTTTAACTTTAGTTATTTAAAAATAGGTAAAATTATTGTACCAAATTATGTCTAAAGTTTTTTCAGGGGTGATTTCCCTGATGTGTGTATAAAATCAAGATCTTATTTTACTGATGCATAAGTCCTAGTGAGTCAAGACTAGGCATATGCTTTCAGATAAATAAGGAATTACTCCAATCAGTTTTCCCCAATCAAAGAAGCCATGTCATTTTACTTTTAGAAACATACAAGTGGGCCCAATATGGGAATTTTCATAATAGTTCATACATTTGTCAGCTAACATTAAAAGGTAACCAACTCCTCAGGTATTTGTAGTTTACCCTAACGCTTCTTTAAAAGAAAGTAGGTAAAAAAAAGAAAAGGGTAGATAATCTTTCGTATGCAAACTTTTTCCTTATATTTTGTCTTTGTTTCCTTTTTGACTTTAGTAGCATCCTCCACACATTTGTGTGCCTGATTTGAAAGGAAGCTGGGGCACCCAGCAAGTTTAGCCTTTAAGTTTCTGTGTATTGATTTGCAGATTAAGTAATGCTGGGAGGAATAAAGAAGGGACAGAAACATGGAACATAAAGCATTGAAAATTGCGGTGCTTGGGCTTCTGCTTCAGAGTAACGTCAGTGGCTTAGGGTTAAATGGCCATTTTATTCAAATGCTTGCTATACAATCTGAAAACACACTGGCAGGTGCTCCTCTCCTTGGCAATTCATTGAGTATCCAGAGTTCTACGATGTTTAACTGAAGAATTGGCTAATGTGTTGATCCTCCAGTGTGACTGTTCTTTTTGTTTGGGGGTGGGTCTGGGGTTTTTTGCTTTTTTATTCCTGAAGCTTACCAGATATGAATGGCTAATATTCCATTGTTCTGCTTATTGTAATGGTGAATGCTTTAAGAAAAAAAAAAGTGTAATTTGCTAAGAATAATTCATGATCTGTTTATGCGATAACTCCTTTTTGTTACAATTTTTTTAAAAAAAGCTATTTTTGTTAATGTAAAGTAAATATTTCAGAGCAAATTTTTTAAACTTATTGCACTAAATACAGGCTCTGTACAAAAAACAAAAAAAGCCTCAGCATTTTATCATTCCATGGAAGGAGAATCTTTTGAAAGAAAGCATTGCCTCCTACCAGAACTAGACAGTGAATGAGACCGGTATTATGGAAATGCATACAAGTAATGTCACTAGGGCTTCATAAGCAGCTGTTTGCTAATGTGCTTCCTTTCAAAGGGTTGGACCTCTAAATTGCTGCAAAAGGTAAATGGTATTTTTTTTTAAGTATTGGCGTTCTTTACTCTAGGTAGGCTAAAATTTGCTAAATGCCTTGGTTTCTTTTCAAAGTTCATGTAATATTTCTGATTTTTCAGAATATTTGCAATAAGAGTCTGGATTTTAAAACACACACACATACACACAATTAAGAGCTCATGTCTTAGCAAGATCTGGGAAACCAACATTGCAAGAGTAGCTATTTGGAAAGAATAATTCTCCAGAAGTTAACATCTAACATCTAGTATCACCAAACAGTATCACTGTTCTCTTTTATTCATCTGATATGGAATAAATATAATTATGTAACTAACAATTGTCCAAATAGATGAGAGAGCAAATCATGTGAGAAAATTCAGAATACCATCTGTTTCATAGCCACACAGATTTTGGACTTTCACAAACATTGGGAACTAAATTTAGAATTGGCAAAAGTCTAGAAGATGGGTATCCAAACAGAAGACATTCCAGGAGCTAGCAATTTAAAGAGGTGTCCCTCCAAAGTGACCTGATGGAAGTCCTGAACTTGGAAATTAGGTTCTACTCACTTGGACATCCCTGCATCATGGACTGTTGCTGCTCCCTGTTCCATATGCTCGCAATCTCAGCTATTTGGAAGCCACCAGGAATGCTTTCTAATTATCATTTGCAACTAGAACTGTAATCAGAAAGAAATTTTGTATTTTTGTATAACTTGATTGTGTGCCATTTTATATAACAGGTCCTGTTTTACAAATAAATTTTGTTTTACTAACATTGTGTTTAGAAATTATAATCTATGTGTAACCATGTCATTTGAGTTGCAAATTAATTGCCAGGCTGTTTTCCTTAAGTAAATTCATGTGCCATACAGAAATATGCAGATATGCATATACATTACACAGGCACACACAGAGAGATATTTAATATGTGGAATATCACTCTCTCATGAGCTTTATTCCTTGATTAATTTGATAAAGCCTCACAGAAGATTTTAAGCAATATTTAAATATGTTGAGGTTATGTTTGGATATTCCTGCTGCCTCTTTTCATTCATTTCAAGTCATTCTTCAGCTAGCTATGGGCTGCCTTATTGCTATTCACTCACTGCTTCCATCTTCTGCCCAAGTGAGAAGAATAGATGAAGAACAGAAATTTATCTGTGAAATGTGGATACCCAAATAATTTTATAAATCATTGATTCTGTGTTGTGGTTTTTGTCTTCTTCTGTGGTGAATCTTCAAAACTGCATTCAGGACTCATATTTCTAGAGTTTTAGTTGGGGTCCTCTATTGTCAATTGTAGTAGTGACCAGAGTATCATGGTTTCTGCCATCAGATAATTAAAGCTCTGGTGCATAATTTAGACTTTCTAATCTTCTGCCTCAAGAATAAGGTCTTCCATAATACGGAAGAGAAAAGTTATATTTCATTGTAAATCCAAGAGACCCATCTTCTATGAGAGGCTTACCGGTGCAGTAGTAATAAAACATTAGCAATTTAGCTAGAGCACTGAGATTGTATAATCCTTGCGTGGATGAGCAGAGCTCAAAGCCAGTTGTTCCCTTAAACCATTTAATTCAATGGCTAATGTTTAGGATTAAAGTTTTTATTTTATCCTATAAGATAATTAAGTCCTAAGTCACTACAACTTAAGTAGCTTAAGTGTATGTTGGTCCCCAAACTTTTTCCATAATGGTTAAGGAGGAGGCACTTACTGAGTTTATTTTAAAGTTATGCTAGAAATGTTCTTCTTTTGTAGAGATGCTCTCTCTCTCTCTTTTTTTCCCCCTACGAAGGGCATTAAGCTGCTGATTGTAAGTGATTTCCAATACCACTGATCTTGGTATCTGCCAAGGGCTTCCTTGCCTTCCCTGGGCAGTTTTAGGATTTCACCCCAGTAGGGGGTATGAGGCACTGACCCCTTTATTCTGGACCCAAACTGCTTTAGAGCAGTGTTAATACCTCTCCCTCCCTCTTCAGAACAGCTACAGGAACTGCAGGCACCACATATGTGTGAGGCCACATCACTGCCCCTGAGGCTTCAACCATTTCCACCATGCACTATCACTGGCTACTAACAGCCATTTCAAGAGATCTTGTAGCCTGTAAGCTAGAATTCTGGGATCAGTTCCAAAACCAGAACTGCCAGTAATGTTGACTTGAATATTTTATTTGATTTTTGGTCAGTAACCTTTTCATTTAAACTGGACTTTCCAATAGCCTTAACATGGCCTCTGAGAAGTTTCCTCCAGAAAGGTCTTTAAGCTTTCGCTTTTCAATAAGTAAATTCTTTACTGCTTTTCTACTGCTACTTAAAAACAACAACAACAACAAAACTCTCAGAGTCTGGAGGCTTATCAGTGTACCTGCCACAGTTAATTTCTGTATTCTTTTCATACATTCCATCTGACAAATAAGAGTGCACTATCATGGCTTGCCTAGAGTTGTTAAGAAGTGGTCTGTGAATACATATCGAAAAAATGTGGGTTCATAAGTAAAAGCGTAACGCAGAGATTTGTGTATTCTGTATTCACAGCATAGGCTGCCTTTTGCTTTAAATGGATATTCATGTATCTTTGTGTACTAAGAATGTGTGTTAGCCTTTTTGAAAAGTAGGCACCGTTCATACACAGTAGCTTCTTGGAATTAACTCACCTTTGTTAACTTAGTGGCACATAGTCCAAATTTTAAAAAAGCAAGCCTCGAGTATGCCAAAAGAAAATCTAAAGCTAGCAAACTTAAAAAACAAAACAAAAATTACACATGTTGTGTACACTTATGAATTTAGAATACCACATTTTTCCCATTCAGATTTCATACATTTGAGCCAAATTCTTATACTCCACATTTTAATTTTAAGAGGGTAATATTAATCCAAGATTTAAATCTTTGAAAAATCTTTCATATAGAAAACTTCAATGCAGTTTTTAAAGTTACTGATTTCTGTGGAAAACCTTTCTTTTCTATAGAAATACTATAGTGCCCTTTCTTCCTCCCCATCTTGATTTTGTATGTGTAAAGACAAATGATGATTCAGTTTCTCAATATTGCATGAACAATTGCCACTTTTGTAAATTATATGGACAGAATGTGTTCTAAGGAAATTCATTAGTCAATTTGTGGAAAATATGTGAAATTGTTAGAGACCTATTAGGCTATTCAGTTTTGATGCTCAGTTTTACAACTTAAATGATTTTCTCCAGGACACGGAGCTCAGAGTAATAAAGCTTTTATTGATGGTCTAGTGAAGATCTAGTTGAACATGGAAACATTGTAATTTACAGATGTCTCAGAAATGTTTCACTTTTATTTGCTAAGACCTGAATTTAATATTTGATATTCAAAAACAAGTTATTTTGAAGGGGCAATGGGTCTCTTTGAGCTTAAGAAAGTTATGGACTATCTTTCTCTCAAATGCACATCGCATGTCTGTGAACACTCAAAATGCTCATAGAGTCTCAGGGCCCTCAGACTGCCAGCTGCCACCCCTCCACCCCCTCAGAGTCTTAATGAACCCAAGTCAAAAGCCTGCTCTAAAGTTGTTCTGATAATGTGTTTTGAAATGAGGAAGTGATTAGGCCTCCACTAGAGATACTTTTGAGATGATGCTTACCACCTTCTGACCTGGAATCATTTTTATAACTTAAAGACTTTATGTAATTTAGTAGCAGGTTAGGGAATAGAAACCACACTAATCTGAAGGAATAACAAGATGATCAACACTGAATCTTCGTAACAGTAAGATTTTCTTTCTTTGGAGGTGTGAGGGTGTGTGTGTGTGTGTGTGTGTGTGTGTGTGTGTGTGTGTGTGTGTCCTTGGGGGTTATTTGGGGCAAGGTAGCAGATTATTTGCAATGAGCCAAAAAAAAAAAAAAAATCCAAGAAGAAATAAATAGGGAATCTTTGTAACTAATCCATCTACCAAAACACTTGATTCTTTTTATTGTAACTCAGCTATGGCGTTATGTGGCTTAGTGTTATCAGTATACTACTGTCTTAAAATGTATTTGTCAACATGTCCAGGAAGATGAAGATGATGATAAATTAGCAAACTCACGTGTAGTCCATAGTTGGCAAAAAATAAATTTGGTAGAAAGTTGGAGGAGCAGATGCTAAAGGTAGAAATGCAAAAGGTGTTTTTTCTCCCTGCATAAATCAGGGAGGTGTTTTCTGTTTTAGTGTTTTCCAGTCACCCACTAGAGCAGCTTCGGACTGCTCTGCCAATAGAACTCCGCCCCCAGTCCCTTCCCTACTCCATCTTCTTTAGGAATATGTGAATTTCTTCACATCTGCACCTAGTACTATTAGGTAAGGGTGCTGCATCTACATGGAAGGCTCCCTGGGCCCTTGAAAAAGCAGGCAGACACTCATCAAGGGATTTGAAGTTCTTGTGAAATTTGATCCCAGTGGCTCATGATTTATAGTCAGACATCAAACCGTTGCCTATCTTTTCAGGCTGAAGAAAGTGGAAATGTCATAACTGACTGGTGAAGAAAGGAGAAAAGTCAGCTCCCTACTCCGCCCCACACTCCTATAAAAGTTTGGGGGTTTTTTGTTTGTTTTTGCTTTTTCTTGAGACCGAGTCTCGCTCTATCGCCAGGCTAGAGTGCACTGGCGCGATCTTGGCTCATTGCAACATCCACCTCCCAGGTTCAAGTGATTCTCCTGCATCAACCTCCTGAGTAGCTGGGACCACAGGCATGTGCCACCATGCCCAGCTAATTATAGTATTTTTAGTAGAGACGGGGTTTCACCATGTTGGCCAGGCTGATCTCAAACTCCTGACCTCCAGTGATCCACCCGCCTCAGCCTCCCGAAGTGCTGGGCTTACAGGCGTGAGCCACCGTGCCCGGCCTAGAAGAGCTTTAATGAACCTTCCACAGTAGTAAATGCAGAGACCACTGGTGGAAATTCCCATATTGGATAGAAAAGGGCCTAAGTCCAGTGTAAGTATCTAAATTTGATACGTCTTTTTGTCACAGAAGTGTAGGACTTAAAGGGAATATTCTGACCTTCGTGTATGAAGCTGATCCACCCATCCTGTCAGCTAGGATTATAATTTGAGCTGTTTCGGGAGCATGTGTTAAATCGTATGAGTAAAAAAAAAAAAAGTGGGCATTGAAAAAAAGACTTGGGAATAATTGGGCAGATAGAATGGGTTCCATGGATCATCCTAGTTGCCACTAGAAAATGTGAGCTCCTTCTTCATTTACCATGTTGATAATCAGGTCGTGACTTTTTTTTGTTTTTTGTTTTTTCTGTAAATTGTATTAGATACCACACAGGAATGTGACAATAATAGGATGGCTTTGGGGGCTGGTGATTTGAAACAGGGACTATTAAGTCAATTTTCCCCATTCTCTAGGTTCCAGTAGTCTGTGCTCAGAACTTGGGTTTTGACCCCTATTGTTTTTGCCTATTTTGATTTTCTGAAATGATCACATGGGGACAGTTAACTTTTCTTCTGCTGTGTTGCCCTAATGCTAGTAGATTGTGTTGTGTTGTTGGAGTTTTCTGATTTCTTCCCTATATGAGGGTACTAAGAGCTCCATAATGAAAAGAAGTTTTTATACTTTCTCAAAATATTCTGGACCACTGAATGCACTTCTAATAGATCTTACACCTAAAGAAGTTAGTTCAGTGGTTGTTAACTGATTTGATTACAGGAGGAAAAAAAAACTTTATAACTAACAAAAAGGCGGGGAGAAAAGTGTGAAGGGCATCAAGCAAAATGACAGGGGCTTCAAAAAACAACCAAAGACAAAACCCTATCTTCTGAAGACCAAAGGTC